TCAATTCCGGTGGCGAATATGTTGAAAAATAGCTGGACACTTGCTGTATCTGTTGCAATAAATATTTCCATGAAATTGTGTTTTGTTTCTGTAAACGGCCCCAGGGAAACTTACTTTAAGGACGAGCCTCGTATAAACAAGGAAATTTTTTTTTTGTCAGGGCAAATACAACACACACAAACACACAAAATCAGGTATAGGTGTACTGAAATAGTTACACATCCTGACATAACATCAAGAAACAATTTAGTACCTAGGCAAAATTTCATCATCTTTCAGATGTTCAAGGAAATTCAATGCAGCCTCCTTGCCTACTCCCAGGACACCTTTATCATTGTAATCACATCCACAAAGCAGGGACAGCGCGATAAGTTTCTGTCGACTGAGAGCTAGCTTCTTTTCAATGACAATCATCTTGTACTCTTCTACACTGTAACTAGTAGACCCCTGACGACCAATGGTGAAGTTACGGTACACTGTCTGAGCTCCGTACAAGAAGCAATCACCATCTTGTGTGATGCATCCATGAACCAGCTACAAAATTAAAACATATTAAGATATCTCTATAACATTAATGCAACACATCACCTGACACAACTGCTTGACATTCTGAAACTGAATTTAATTATGTTCCGAGTACAGCAACAAAATTTTATGTCGATTTCATGTTAATTCCAACACATTTGTTCTTCCTTAATTTTCCTGTAATTGTCCCACTGCAAACAGATTTTCTACAAATAAATACAGAATCTGGGGTCCAGAACAGTTATGGTTTCTTCACAAAAAAGTTTTAATGTTAGGCTTATAGCCCCACCTACCCTATTGGCATTTTCATCGCCCTGATGACGGAGGCAGTATGACCTCTGAAACGTTGGTAAGCATCGACCAGACCACACAGCGCAACAACCCAGAAGACAGAAAACTTCATACTCACCGCTGTGAAAACCTCAAATCTTAAATACAGTATTAATGACAAACATATAAGAAAAAATCCCAGCTTACTCCAGATTCATTTAACTGTGCACAAAGGGCCTCAGCTTCACCAAAACTTTGAACACAGGATACTCCCATGATTGCTAGTAAAGCTTCACACTGAAAAGAAGTCAAAATAAAAACTGAGTCAACAATAATGCAAACTGTTCTAAAAAATCTCCTTGTATATTTCCTTACTAAAACTTTTATTTAATTGCTACATCTTTCCCAGTTGTACATAAGAAAGGAACTATGATGTTGGTTTATTCTAACTATAGTTAGGAACTAGTGCTGAACTGTTACAAAAGAAAGATACTGTCAATCAATTTTCTTTACTGGTTTTCAATCAGTGGAGCCTAAACAGACTCTTAGTGCCTACTGCATCTCTAAAATAGATCACCTCAATATGACATCATGAATTAAAGAGTGACACATCATTTTCATTAGTTTTGCACACTCCACATATTACCACAGCATACACAAAAGGAAATTCAATTAAGTTAGGCCAGGTTCTTTAACCTCTCACAGGGAAGCTTGGTATTTACTAATAGTTGCAAAGAATACTAAAGCAAAAGCCATCTTATGTTACATCAGTATTTTTATGACCACTCTGCAGTGTATCTCAAAACACCTATACAAAATAATTAGAAGTAGTTAGTATTTACAGCACGTTGTATGTCTTGTAACATGGCCTACAAGCAGAAAACTCCCAACGTGATTTACAGTTTAGTGATCATAATGCCTTACAGATTTATGCTACAATGGACAGAAGGGGCTAAAAAAGTGATCACATTTCCTCAGTTTTATAAACTACCTTAATAATTGTATGGCTAAACAAAAGGAAACTATAGAATTGATTTGCACAGGCATGCACATAAGCACACATACGCAAGAAAACTCCCATATGTATGTGTGTGTACATGTATGCATACACATATATGATATCATAAGCGGTACACATATTCAAGTTTCTCATGTAACCATTTTCCATTTCTCTTACACAGACTAACTAAAGTGGTTGGACACAACACAAGACTGAAAAGAATATTAGAGCTCACTGTTAGTCATCACAAATTCAACATATACACCCAATTATTTTTATATTTATATGTATTTTCCTTCACACATTTCTAATACATGTAACTAGGATACACTGATTCATGGAGAAAGAGCCAGAAGACTTCCACTTCAACCTTCTAGAATATTAAAAATGCCACTGAAAGTATTGTATAGTATCTGCTTGTCAGCTCCTTAAAACACACTACTAATATTAATTTTCAACACAAGTACTCCTGAAATGATATCACAAGGACAAGCAGAAAAAGTTACTACAAATACACAGATTAGCTTCACCAAATGCCTCTGATATAGAAATAAATTGATATGCCCTTCTGGCACAATACCCTCAGTGGTCATATAAACAAAGGAAAATTAATGCAGAAACTATACTATGTTCATTTTGAGGTACTACGTACGAAATATGTAAATTAAAAAGGGACAAGTCAGAATGACCAGAATTACAAATTCTTTGTTGAAAAAATAATAAGGTAAAATCTTAACTGCGAAATCGTGGGGAAAAAAGGCAAAAAAGTATCATAATTAGACGCATGCATCCTCTCCATATAACTGCATTGGCCAACTTCACATTTGACAGTCACATGACTGGCACCATGAAATATATACAAATAAAGAAAATTATTGAAAACATATTAAAAAAAAATTGTCTCACAGACCAAATGTCATGCTCAAGTGGTTAAGCACTCCTGCTTTGTATTTAGGATGTCCCAAGTTCAATAACTGGTAAAGACTGTCCACACTAACTAAAAATATTGTGATTATTCTCAGATCCTCTGGGAAAATGCTGGGATAGTGCCTTAAATTAGGCCACAACCACATAATTTCCAATTCATTATTCATTCTACAAGTTAACATTATATAATCTGTTCCTCTGACAGCTTATTAAATCTACCACAAATAAAATTCAGCAAACATCACACAGATGGGGCATACATTCAGCTATACTTGGGCTATAAACAAACCTGTTTCAATATGGAGTTTAATCGGGAGCGGCTTCCTTTGTTTCTTTCCAGCCTTGTGCATTGAGACACTTTAGCACTCTCTTCATCAGAAGAGCTGCTCTGTTTCTTGTTCTTTGTCCTCTGTTGGACCCTTTGTGACATGGTGTCATATTTCAGAGTGGGGGCTCTGCCTTCCAATACAAACACAGGTTTCACACCCAACAGCAACAGACAGGAAGTACGGAAGAAGAGGTTCCTAAAAATAGCATTTCTGTCTGAGAAGAAAACTGCTCAGTTATCTTATGTCCAGCAACTCCTAATTTTAACACCACATTAACTGCATGTTATCTTGCACAAAATATAATGGACTGTATTAAACATGATAACTCATGCATCTCAAATGATGGATGATAATAACTTTAATGAAACCAATGAAAATATAGCTCTTCAACATAAATTGTTACATATGCTTGTATTTCCTTCCTTTTCAGTGACAACTGGTTACATCTTCTAGTATTTAGTTATGTTGGGCTTATCATACTTTAATATCGTACTGTAATGAACATAGTAGCATTCTGCTTACCTTAAGTACATTCTAGGTTGCTGAGTGTTCAGAACATTTTGACTATCGCACACCCAACAACTAAGATCTATTGCTAAAACTTTATCATGAAGCTCCCATAAAGATTTACGTTCGCATACTGGTGCCAAAATTTGCCACAAATTTTTAACACCCATGACACCATACAGGATTTATATTAAGAAATACATGTACCAAAGCAACTAAATCATAAATTGTTTATCGAGTTAAAATAAAGATCTGGCCTGCGAAAAGTGTTCTACTTGCTTACAAACATTGTACAGTAAAAATTGTAACATTTGCATTTATTTCAAACTCTCAGTATTGTGTAGCCAACACTTCAGTAGTAATTCATGAGACCTTAACACTGTCTTAAACTGGTAATGAGAGATCCAAATATGCGGTTTATAATCACAGATCTTCTAATATTAACGATCACATTTTTTTTGTTTACCCATTTAGTGCTACAACGAAATTCAAGCATTGTACCGGAAAGGATACGCTTTCCATTAATCCTAATCTACAGATGCTCAGAGTGATATTGTAGAGGTCTCTGTATATCATTTAAAATACAGTTGTCAGCGGGTGCCAGAGTTCGTGTCGAGGTCAGAGAAATTGTTGTGGAAAAGGATACATTGAGTCAGGTTTCCCTGGGTCCTTCGGTTTTCAGCAGTCAGCTTAGCATTATTCAATTCAATTCATTTATTAAAGTGCTTGACTACAGCCAATAACAGCCAAGCACTAACAATACAAACATTACAATACAAAAACAAACAAACAATGAACTGAATATATAAATGTACAATATTAATTTATTGCAAAATAATTAATAAGTAAATGAGCTAATAATAATAATAAATATGCAGGAAAGCTGGGGTAAAGCTAGAAAAGAAGCACTGGTATGAACACATCCTGAAGACAGTGGAGACAAGTCAACAGGGCCAAATAACTATTTTATGGAACCAACAATTCAGAACAGATAGAACCATCCCAAATAATAAACCAGACATTATAATCCAGAACAAAAACGACTACGTAACCGCTGTAGATAGCACAGCGTTGGAAAATAAAAACGAAAAATAGCCATGTTGGAATGAGATGATAGGAACTTTACCCATTTAGCGGATTTTCTTATCTTTGTTGGCAACCCTGTCTGTCTACCTACAGCAAATCAGCTGATCGAGTTACGGAGTGTCAACAATCTCCAATTTTTTTGTAAGTGGTTACTTAAATTCCTGTGGAGAAATATCGCTTTCAAATTACGGAGATTTTATCTGACTTTTGGCCCCTTATTTTGTTACAATAAATCTCTAATGGAAAGAAGCATTATCAAGTGCTTGGATAATATGTAAGTACATGCACTGAAATCTAAGGTGATAACTTAATTAATACGTTGAGCCCCATGTAATGTTTAAATCTAGGAGGTAAATTATACTAAGTCTTACCTCAAGTATTATAAACATTTGTTAAGATTATAGTTGTTTTACATAATTACCCTACTATGTAGGACTCTTTGCTGATTTTGTTTGTACAGTATCCATGAATTTGCTCAAGATGGTAAAACATGTTTCAGATCCGAAGTTGCCAGTGTCAGGGGATGTCTTTTGGCTGATGAACAAGGATTATGTTTAGGGGGTAGGTACATAATAGTGAATGAAGTTGCCTTGTTTCTGAAGTTTATTCCCGCGAGCCAGATCTATAATACCCACTTAACCAGTGTATCAGTCATCTTACTCTGTGGCAGGTGGCTGTAAGTGTTTCAACTGCAAAAGTTTATTGCTGTGAATGAAGTGGTTATGATGAGCATGAGTTGTTGCTAGTAAGGATTTGAAAGGAGTCATTTGTGACCTGTTTCAATTTATTGTGCATACCCCAGCATGTCTTTTGGTATAATGAATGTTGTTCTAAATATGTACTTCAGTTAATCATATTTGTTTATAGGTAAAACAGGTTTCTAGACTTTATTAGGTCGAGGCTAATAAGCCACCTTCACCCATGGGGAGAGAGTGTATCAAACATTGTATGGACCAGGTGGTCCCCAGAACTAGTCTGAGTGAGATGATGAGAAATATAATGCCTCTGCTGAGAAACTATTCCCAGTTATATGTTCCACTTACTGAGCTATCTTGACTCATGATTGATGTAACCTTAATGTTTCAGCCATCAGAAACTATAATTTGGGGTTTGTGATTTCAGTAAGAGGAGGGATTTCACCACAAAGTTCTGGAGTGATTACAGCACTTTCACAACAAGCTGGATTGCTGGAACCTCACAGTACTAAACATCCTGTGGTAATCCTTGAAAATGACTTTAGGTACAATTTTTAATTTCACTTGTCAACTGACAAATTCATAAATTCAGTATATGTACATAACATGTAAGATAGTATCTGAAATAGTGTCAGTAAATTAACAAGTTGAGGAGTTGAGCCAGCTCAGTTCACTTAACTTACATAAATAAATTAGACTGGGATGTGTAGATTGAACATTATAGCATCTGTCAAAAGTATAAAAATATTACTCATTACATGCACTAAATCAGCAGACACATGCTTACAATTTTTAACCTACTTCAGATTTCAATGTGCACAAATGGTTAGTTTCTGTTACCCTCAGGATGGTTTCTGATGACCTTTCTTGGCATGTGTCAACCATGGGCATGTCTAAAATTCATTTTTGGGGTTGGAGCACCTATAAGCCAAATTGTATTACAGCAATGATAGGATGACTACAAAGATGGTCAGCAGAGGGGGGATGGTAGGGGACTTTCCCAGAGGTTTAGCTTTGGCAGAGATTCACCACAATTTTATAGCACAGAGTACACATCAGTTTACTTGTGTAATAGTTCAGGAATTATCACATACCTCATTATGAACTGTTTTATTTAAACCCACAGATATATATTATAAGAGATAAATACACTTTACATGATCTTTCAGATACTGAAATTGTTTTAATTTTGTACTGTTTTTAGGCAGTGCTATATTCATGGGAATGGAAAAGTTGTTACTGCTATTCAAAAGACTGCAGCCTCTTGAAGCTGGTATAGAGAATTATGAGGAGCTTTTATGAATTGCAACTGCATCAACTTAATTATTATTGTCATTATGTTTATATAAAGTAAATAAATTGATTTTTTATGATTGATTTATAATTATGCTGTTATGTAATGTTACAATAATCTAATAATGAAATGAATGGCTTTATAGTTTTGTAACAGTGCTTTGTTTATTATTATGGTAATACAGTGAAACCTCGATGCATCGTTTTCGGCGGGGGTGGGAAATAAAAACGATGAATGCGGGAAAACGATAGATGCGGGAAAGCATTAAAAATTTTAAAAAAAAACAATGTTTCTCTTTCAAAGTTACTTCTTTTTACCAAAAAAGTCTTTAATGGACAACTGGTTTGTCGAAACTTTACGTTTTAG